CGATTCTCTTGGTGCCCTGGGAGCCCCCTCGTGTTCCTCCTGCGATCCCCTGTCTCCCGTGGGGCCACCTGCGTCGGCCTGGGCCTCGAAGCTGGACCGATGCTCCGCCTCGCGGCTGACGGCCCGCTGCTCGCTAGGAAGTGTGGGAATGCCAGGGGCGCGGCTGACGGCCGCCTGATTCTGTCCTCTCCCGAATCCGCCCACCCCTTCGGGGGCGACCGCCGCTGGGGAAGGGCTGAGGAGGATCGGTGAGGGAGGCGGGAGGGCGGAGGCCAGGAGATCCCCGGGGCTGCAAGGGCCTTGCCCGCTGCGGTTGCTGGGCGACGCGCCTTCTGGGAGGCCGGCTTGCTCCGAGCTGTCTCTCGGGGAGCTGCCTCTGTCCCAGCCAGCGTCTGGCTCGGCGGGTCCGTTCGGGGAGGGGGTGCCAGGGGTGCGGCTGACGGCCGCCTGCGTTCCTCTGTCAATCTGAAATCCAGGGTGGCCATGGGCCTCTTCCGCTCCGCGCACGGAGGGAAGACCGGGGTGGCGGCTGACGGCCGTCTGAGCTTTTGTAGATATCTGCTCACCAGGGTGCGGCCGACGGCCGCCTGGGTTCTTGAAGATCTGTCCCCATCAGGGTTACGGCCCGTGGCCGACCCCTCTGATGGTCCCCGTGGGGAGCCAGGGTCACGGCTGACGGCCGTTGTGATTTGTTGTCTCCTTGCCGCGGTCAGGTCTGGATCCTGATCTGCCGCGCGGGCCAGGGGGGAGGGTTGTCCAGGGGGGATATGGGTCTGGCTGGGGTCTAGGGGAGGATCGGTCTGAGCCAGTGCTCGTGCCCCCAGGCTCCGCACTGATCGGTCCCCGCCCCCCGCGACGCCGTCCGAACGATCCCCCATGAGACTGAGGCCCGCGTTGCCTGTCTGAGCCGCTGCCAGGGAGCAGCGCCGCTGTCGGTATGGCGGGCGCGCACCGGGGGACCAGAGGGAACCCAGGACCGCGGGCCCGTCGCGCAACGTACGGGCGCCCCCTTGAGCGGTGGGAGACTGCCCCGAAGGGAGCAGGCCCACCAGACGGCCGTGAGCCAGAGGCTACGGAACACTCTGCTGGTGGGTTTACGCGAAGCGTCAAGAATTTTCAATCGTTTTGGGCCTTTGGGGGGCCTTCGCCGGACCCCAGAACCTTCAAACAACGACTCAGGATGAAAAGCCAGGGCGTGGGAGTGCACAGCGAAGAAACCCAGGCATGCTCGCGTCATAGAAAAATCAAGACAAAAGGCTTTTCGCCGTTTTCGGCCTCTCGGGGCCTCGCCGGGCCCTGAAACCTCCAAAAAATGACTCGGGATGAAAAGCTGGTCCTGGGGAATGGGTCGAGATCTCTGGTGGTCAACGTTATGAAGCAATCATGACGTCGGGGGTGTGGGGAGAGCACAGCGTAGAAAGAGGGACCAGATCCGACACTAACCCTCGACCCCACGATCTGGGCTGGTCAGCCTCAGATCTCTGAGCGCTGCCTTGGCAGCCGACTCGCTGGTGGCAAATAATTGAGTCTGCTCGGGGGGGACGTGTCTTCAAGTGTGACATGTGTGCGTGGCTACCGCTCGGACAGAGGGATAGCCGCGGGGAAAAGGGTGTGCCCGTTGCCCGAGGCACGGCCGAGGGGGGGGAGGGCCCCTAAACACACTCGCCGTTTCCGTCCTCCGCGGGACCTCGCCGGGAACCAGGATAGTCAAGAACCTACTCGGAGCGGAAAAAAATACCTTCTGGGGCCGCGCATGTACAGAAAAACAGATCGGCGGGCGTCTGGCGCGGTTGAGGCAGAGCGTGGCCCGAGGGGCACGTGCACGGCCGAGGGGCGGAGGGCAGGGGGGAGGGGGGGCGCGACGGAGCAAGACCGAGGGGGGCCACGGGACTGGGTATGTTTCATGGTTTCATGGCCCTGGCCGAGGGATCCCCCCCCCTTGTCGGCGGTGAGCGGCGGGGGGAAACGAGAAGGAGAAGATCTTCGCAGAAGACGGCGGGGCTTCTGAAAAGACCTCTGGCCTTCTGGCAGGTGTTCTCCGTCTTCGGGGGAGGCTTAGAAATCTTATTTGAAGGCAGGGGCACTCCCAATCCTGCTGAAAAAGGCCTGCCCCTGCTCACTTCCCCCTTGGGCTGGCCGCCGACCCTGGTCCTCGCAGCCGACACGAGGTCACGAGGACGCGGATCAAGAACATGGGCCCCGTCGTCGAGAGCCCAATGCCCCATGGAGATAGCCCAAGCCGAAGAGCATTTCAAGGTGGAGAGCCCAACGGCGAAGAGCATTCCAAGGTAGAGACCCCAAGACCCCATTGAGATATTCAAAACGAAGAATGAAAAGGGTACCTCGTGCCAGCTGTACCTCGGGGGTGGACAAACCCCCTGAAGCCTGAAGCAGAAGACCCTTCAGCGAGGACGACCCGGGAGCAGACCCGGCGAGCGCAGGCCCACAAAAGTGGCGGTCACCACGACTTCTCGGGAATCGAGGAAGGTCAATTCACCGACAGGGCAGGGTGGAGGCCTCCCTGAGATCCGACGTCGCGAAAAAACTGCAACTCTTGTTTTGTTGTTGTTATATATATATGAATAAAAACCCAAAAAAACGCATTAGCGTCCGTTGCGGGCCCGGGCTTTCCCCCACCAGCACCCCTGGTAACGTCACGATTCGTGATGGCGTCGTCTGGAAAAGCTTAGTAACAGCCATGCAAATAACATAAAATATCCTATGCCGAATGGGATCTGCCGCGCCAGAGCGTGCACCATGCTATGGCTGTGCAAGGCTACGCAAGGACCTGCGATGGGTGGCTACAGATAGGTGAACGCAACATAGGAAATGGCTGGGGATAGAGTTTGGTGTTGCTCTATCCTCACCCTTCCCTCCTCCGCCTCCTCCTCCGCCTCTCCCTCCTCTCGTCGTCATTGTCCTCCCCATTGCATATTGCAAGCGGCTTCACACAGGGACAGAAGAGCGAAGGAGGGGAATCGAGAGGAGGAAGGGGGGCGAGGCGGGCGGGGCCAGGCCGAAACGACCTGTTCGATTACACTGCCGTTATCGGTTCGTGCCCTGGGAGGGGTCTGGGCGCCCCGGGGCCCGAACGGGGAAATGGCCTCGTCGTCGCCCTCCTCCTCCTCCTCCCTCCTCCTCCTCCTCCTCCTCCTCCTCCTCCTCCTCCTCCTCCTCCTCCTCCTCCTCCTCCTCCTCCTCCTCCTCCTCCTCCTCCTCCTCTTCCTCACACTCCTCCTCCTGTCGTCCTAGTGCGCTATACTGCGTTGCAAACTGCTTCGCTGAAAAACAACGTGCGCAACACATCGTTGGGGCGCACTGGGGACGCGGGGGATGGTGTAAGCTCATGAGATACACGGGCCACTTCCAACTCAACCTTCCCAACAGCGCACTGCATCCTTTTTTCTGAATGGTCGGGCTACGATCGAGAATGTCAAGCTGGGTGTCTGAAGCAGTCCAGAAGGCTGCAAATACCCGTGCTTAGAATCACTTGCCGCACATGCTGGATACACTTGCGGATGGCTGGCGTACTGAATCGCACGAGGGCCAAACCATGGAAAGACATGCGGCCACATGTGTACCCAGCACTCGCCCAGGCTGGCAGATGTGTCTACAGCTTTCTGGCAAGAAACACACATAGGAAAACTGTCCCGTTTTGCTTGGTTCAGTATTCCCAACGAGGCAGGAATACCTCATCGACGACGACGACGACGACGACGACGACGACGACGACGACGACGACGACGACGACGACGACGACGACGGCAACGGCGACGGCGACGACGACGACGACGACGGCGACGACGACGACGACGACGACGACGACGACGACAACGACGACGACGACCACGGGTGGAAGGAAGGTGAACGATAGCGGGCCTGATTCGATCCATGACGTGACTCGAGCCGAGGCATCCGCCGATCTGCTCTTGTCCGCCCGCGGCACCCAGGACGGTTCCGACCCCTCCCCGTGGGTGCCTCTTCGCCCCGGATCCGTTCCTGATGGCCCCTGGGACCCGGGGCCGGGAGGCCGAGCTCCTCCTCCTCCTCCTCCTCCTCCTCTTCCTCCTCCTCCACCTCCTCCTCCTCCTCCTTTTCCTCCTCCTTTTCCTCCTCCTCCTCCTCCTCCTCCTCCTCCTCCTCCTCCTCCTCCTCCTCCTCCCGCCCTCTTCGTGTCGGCCGAGGCCGTGCCCCTGAAAACCCGTCGGATGAAAAAGAACATCTCCTTTTTACTTTCCCACTGCTGCCAACGGCTGCCCACAGTGCACAACTGGTCAGCAGATCGGGAAGATCGCCCGGGTGGGCCTGCACAGGGTGAACCTACAGAGCAGCACGGCGTTAGGAACGCAGACAAAGAAGCCGTGTGGACATCCCCAGGTTGGCCTACTCAGCCGAAAAGCTATGATCACACACAGTCGTTGTCGGGAGGGGGAGGGAGAGGAGAGCAGACAAGCAGAGAGCGAGGAGGAGCGAGGGAGAGAACGACACGCCGCGGCGGCGGCGGATGAAAAAACAGAGCCTCGGATCTCATCCGAAAGGTGGCTGTGCGCCCAGAGTGCGAGGGGCGCCCCACGCCGTCCCAGAATGCACCCTGCGCGACCCGAGACGTTGGATCGAGCACCCTCCGGGGGAGCAGGCTCTTCACCCAGGCACCATGACTCGAACCGCCCTAAGATGAGCCAACGATGCTGCAATACACCCACCCGTCCCAAGATCCTCGAGAGGCCTCCTAGATGGGGTCCGAGTAGATGGGGTCGGAGGATCGCGCCGCATCGGCGATACATCGCCGATGCATCGGCGACATCGGCGATGCATCGGCGACGCCAGCGTGGAGATAATCGGGCTCCACATCGAGCCGCATCGCCGATGCATCGACGATACGCCGCGATCCTCCGACCCCATCTACTCCGACCCCATCTAGGAGGCCCAGATCCTCGGATCCTCGGGGTCTCCGGGAGGGGGTCCAGGAGCCGGCAGGCCCCTTCGGCGACCCCGACGGCCTCGCCGCCGCGCCTGCCAGACGGGCCCCGCGGGGCGGCCGCGCGGGCGGCCCGAGCGGGGGGCACTGGCGCGGCCCAGCGGCTGCACGCCAGCAGCGGGCCTGGGCCGGCGAGCTGCGCGGGAGCGCCGCGCCTCTGGGCCTGCAGCAGGAGCTCGCGGCGGGCCTCCTGGAGGAGGGCAACCACCCACCCCGAGATCCTGGCGTGGCGATCTTGTCACACCGAGCGTTGTCGCCCTGTGTCGGGCCCTGGGATCCTCACAGATCGATCCGGCTCGTAAAAAAAGTGGGCGCAACGTCGGATCTCAAGGCAGGCTGGTGGAAAAACAGTACGGCTTTTGTTTCGTCACATTCGGCCTCTGCGGCCCCGGGATGGAAAGCCGGCCCCAGGGTAAGGGTCGGGACTTCCAGGGACCCCGTGCTGAACAATCCGAACATCGCACGTCTGGGTAGTTCACATATGCCAGGAGATCCTGGCGTCGCTCACACAGGGCGCTGTCGCCCAACCTCGAGGCCGGGGGGCATCACGGATCCGTGCGGCTCGAAAAATACTTCAGAAAGACGTGGTCTTGGGCTCTGGTCGTTGGCGGCGCGCATAGGGGGGCTGGGGGAGGGGGGAAGGCTTCTTAAGGAGGCTGCATCTTAGAAGGCGCCAGCCCTACATCTATAGACAAGGCCCGCGCCTTCCAAGAAGCGGGGGTGCTTCTGAGAAGCCGTCCCCTCTCCCCCTCCCCCCCTCTGCGCGTGGCCGAGGTCTTGATGTTTCGAGACGGCCATGTTTCTTTGCAGGGTCGGTTCTCAGGGTGCACCGATCCTGGGCCAAAAGATTCTACCCGGCCAGGGCTGGCGCAGGTGAACAGAGAGCCATGGTGATACCACAAGCGCCTGACTAGGGAGCGAAGGAGCGTTTCTGGCCACGGCGAGCCTCGGCTTCGAATACACTCCCTGGCCTAGATCTCGGAAACGGCCCGAAGACCACAGCCTCATCCCCGGCCCGAGGTGGTCCTTGTTGCAGCGCCCTGGCCGCAGTTGTGTAGAGACGAGGTCTGTACACATCCACTGCTCCAGGCCAGGCCCCTGCTGGGCCCAGCAGCAGTGCACATGCCTCCCTTGCCAAGCCAGGAGGGCATATATACACCGCGCCTCGGCCCAGGACGGGCCTGGCCAGGAGCAGTAGATGCGTATAGACATCCTCCTCCTCCTCCTCCTCCTCCTCCTCCTCCTCCTCCTCCTTCTCCTCCTCCGCCGCCTTTTCCTCCTCCTCCCCTCCTCCTCCTCTCCTCCTCCTCCTCCTCCTCCTCCCTCCTCCTCCTCCTCCTCCTCCTCCTCCTCCTCCGCCCTCCTCCTCCTCCTCCTCCTCCTCCTCCTCCTCCTCCCTCCTCCTCCTCCTCCTCCTCCTCCTCCTCCTCCTCCTCCTCCCCCGCCGCCCTATAGATTGGTGCCCTCCGCTCCTGGAACGCGGCCCACTCGTCCTCGCTCTGGAAGCCGGCTGCACGCAGGAGCGGCCCTGGGCAAGAAGGACCTCTGGGGTACGCGGCTTGAGTCGGGCATGGACAGAACCCCCTTTAGCAAAACTTAGTTTAGTGAAAACGACCTCGGGCCCGAACCTGGCGGGCGCAAGCCTAGAAAATGACGGCCGCGGCGCCCTCTCGAGAACCGAAAGCGGACAATTCACTAATCGACGTGTCAGGGTAGGGGTTCTGTCCACCCCCGATTGAGGAAAGCCGCGATGGAGGCCAAGTCGACGCAGCCCGAGCGCGCCGGCCGGTGCTGGCGGGGCCCCTCTGGGCCCGCACCAGAGGTCACTCCAGCGAAGGGCCACTCTTACGCGCGGCCGAGGAAGGTGAGGGCGCGCAGCAGGCCCATCCACCTGCCGCCCTGGAGATACCTGGGGACACCGAAAGGTACCGATGCCGCTACTCACAAGACCTCTCCCAGGGCGCGTTCTCGCCAGGATTTCGAGGCGAACCCAGAGGTGGCGGCGAGGGCCTGCCAGGAGGCCGAAAACAGGCGAGAACGAGGCAAGGCTAGCGGTATGGGTACCTTTTCCTCCACGGAATACCACCACTGCATGTGCCGGGCCAGCACCGCCGTGTGCAGCCGGGCGACAGCCGCGGTGGGCACCCACACGGCCACGCCCAGCGCGAAGCAGAAGGGCAAGGCACACGAGGTGTAGACCACCTGGCGCGCCGCGGAAGCTCCGAGGTTTTGGCGCTGCATCTCTCTGTCGTGAACCAGCAGAAACCAAACGATACCACCCCACCTACGACCCAGCGATGCCGAAAGTTGCCGTGCTGGCACACCTACGACCATCTACGACCCACCTGCGACACCGCCCCGTAGGATCCATCTGCGACCCAGCGGGTCGCAGGTGGGGTGGTGTCGTTTGGTTCGTGGTCGATTTCACACTGGGCGCCTTCGCCCGGCATCGGGCCCCAGGGCCTTGGTTTCTGGGTTTCGTAGTAGGGAGGAGGAGGCAAGCTGAGGGGCCGAGAGCGGACATGCCACCAGCGGGCGCAGCGAACATGCGAGACAAGTGGACGGGCGGGCACGCCTGGTATAGAGATAGAACCTCAGTAAGGGAAACTCAGGTGTGAGGCTGCGCCCCAGGGGATCCCAGTCTGGAGCAACAGCGGCGGCAAAGGAGAGGGAGAATCTCACAGAGCTTCGCGGGGCAGGCAAAGCAGCAGCCTGATGGTCCTGGAGTTTTTGCGGCCCCCGTGACCCTCGCAGAATCACAGGTCGGTCTGGCTCTGAAAAAGCAGCAGCAAATGGGGTCTATAGAAAAGGAAAACCGCATAAACATAAACTTTTGGCGCTCCGCGCGGATTTCTTGGATCTTCGCTGGACTCCCCTTCCTGGCGCGCTCCGCGCGCCAGGGGCGGCGCCGGAGGCGCCGCCCAGGGGTGCCCAGCGCGGACCAAGAAATCCGCGCGGAGCTCCAAAAGTTATGCCGTTGTTTCTGCTTCGAGTCTAGGACTCCGATCGTGATGTCTTGAGATACTGTCATTTTTGTTCGCAGCGCCAGAGCTCAGGGCCTCGCCTTCGGCGCCTCCGCGCCTTCGACGGCAGCCAGCGGACGCCGGCGCAAGTAAAACAGCGGCTGGCCCGCTGGCGGAAGGACGGCAAGCGCCAGCGGGAGGACTGCAGAAGACGACGGAAGTAAAAGCGAGGCGCCAACAGTTCGGGAATCGGGGATTCAGGAATGGGCCACCTGAAACGCAGTGGTCACCAGGTCGCCCCGCGCCGCACCGGAGACGCCGTCGCGCAGGTCCCAGTACAGGTCCTTGACGTCGGATGTGATCTCGCGGAGGAACAGGTCGTAGCGCCCCCTCACGCCCTCCACGTGCTGACTCGTCCGCCTGCTCACCTCTGCGCACACGTCCGCAGCCGACATCCCCGGGTCGTGCAGCGCGCGCCAGAGCCTGGCGTTGAGGGCGAGGGAGACGGCCAGCAGGAAGACCTGAGAAGAAGAAACACTGCATAGACATCAACCGTCAGCACTCTACGCAGTTGTCTTGGATCGGCGCCAGAGGCGCCGAAAGGGGGGTCCTGCCCCGACACGAGAGATCCGCGCGGACCTCCGAAAGGGTGTGCTTCTATGCTGCTTGCCCTCGTCTTCTTCGAAGCTCGGCGCCCCTGGCCCGTCCACCGCCCCTGGCCAGTGCCCAGGAGCGGCGTGGTGCCTGCAAAATGCAATATGCAGTCGACCAGTCGCCAGTGGCGGCACCAGCTGAACACCTTCGCGTGCCAGGTCGCAACGAATGAGCCAACGCGGCCGACGAAGTGATTTGAGCGAACGCATCGCTTCCTCCATAGTTGCCGTGCTGGACGGTCAAACAATGGGCACGATCCTTCTGAGAGGGGGCGCGGCACATACGGCAGGTTCGTGTCGTGCCGACCCCAGCGTTTGTTTTTGACACCGCAGGGATCGTTCAACCTTGAACGATCGGCCGCTGCCGCAACGTCCAATCGTTCAACATCGATCGATTCTGGGTCGCCGGCGGCGTTCAACCTTGAACGCCCGCGCTGGGGTCGCCGCTGGTCGACACGACGCAAACCTACCGTACGTTCCCATGGGTTGGTGGCCGCCCGAAGACCAGCGCCAGGGCGACCACGGCGGCGGCGGAGGCGCGGGGCACGCGCAGCAGCAGCCGCGCCGAGAGGCCCAGGTCCTGGATGTCGCCGCGGAGGGCCCGCAGCAGGGGCCTCCTCGCCTCCACCTGGCGGGCTCCAGGGGAAGCCCTGGGCCCAGATCGAGCGAGCGATCGAGGGATCGGCTCGTGGATCGGTGGATCGATTGACCGATCGGTCGACCGATCGCTTGGTCGATCGATGGAACGCCCCGCTTCTGCTTCCGCCACCTCCTCCGCCTGCGGAGCCCCCGCCCCAGACACGCCGGCGCCGGGACAAAAGTCACGACGCTGGATTTCTGCTGGCTGCTGCCAGCCTCCGGGGGCCCTCGCCCTGGCGAGGTAAGGAGCGTCAGAAATGTGTCACAAATACTGCCCCGAATTCGCGTCCCCTGCAAAATCACGGCGGAAAGTTCTTGACCGTTTTCGGCCCCCGGGGGCCTCGCAGGGTTCCAAAACCGCCAACCCGAGATGAAAAAACTGGCCCTGGGAAAAGGCTCCGGGCTTTCGTGGGGGGCCCCGCACTGAAAACACCAAGACGAAGAATGCCGAGGCCGCGTCAGGGCCTCCTGCACAGGGGCCTGGCTAAACGGGGGGGGGAGTTTTTCCACATGTCCCCGCTCACCGTGCTCCCGTCTTCGGAGCCCAGGGCCCCCTGAACAGGGGGACACCAAAAAGTACCGATGCAACTACTCCCCTGACCTCTCCAGGTGCGCCTTCTGACCAAGACATCGAGGCGAATCCAGCGGCGGCGACGAGGGCATCCCAGGAGGCCCAAGATGGGGAAAACGAGGCAAAGGTAGCGGTAGCAGTACCCGTTCCTCCTCTGAGTGACCCCGCCTCCCGCGTCCCGACCGCCTTCCGCCAGCCTTGGGACACAAAGGACATCTTAGTACTACGTGTCCTCCTCGGAGGTGTGCGTCCGACCCGAACACATATTGTATAACCATGTTATGGTAGATCGTTTCCCGAGCGGCACGGCAAGAGAGAGAAAAAAAAAAAAAAAAAAAAAAAAAAAAAAAACGCCCGCCACCAAGCATAGATTACGAGATGTCTTCTGTGCGCGCGCCGCCCACCGGGGGGGGGGGCGACGCACACATAGTATTCGTATGTTGGGGTGACGCCGAAGTCTCCCGCAGGCCGCCAGCGGAGTCTTCGCCGTAGCGTGCCGCTTCCGCAGGCCCCCCGCCGAGGGCGGGGGCGTGGCTTTGAGAAAAACATGTGCCCTGGCGACCTACCCAACCCCTGCGCAATGCTGGGCAGGAGTCGCTTGGGATATTTGCCGAGACGGCGGCGACGTGACATTGACGCATATATACTTTTGCGAGCGGCATTCGGAAGGTTCGCATGTCCCCAATCACTGGAAAAACGATGAGTAATTCAGTGAACCCCTGAGTCATTAAGGAAGACGCAAGGTCCAAAAAGAGACTGAGGGCAAGGGGCTTGAAACGTCGGCGGGGCAGCAACAACATGACATGGCCGCCCAGGGACGGCAAGGTCCCGCTCAGGTCTGCGCAGTGCCTCACTCCGCTGGACCCACCAGCAGCCTTCGAAAGTGGCGAACCCACCAGCAGCCCTCGAAAATGGCGACGGTTTCGCAGATCGCAGCCCCCCAAGGACGGCGAAGTCTCGCTAAGGTTTGCGCGGTGCCTCACTCCGCTGGACCACCAGCAACCCTCGAAGGTGGCGATGGTTTCGCAGATCGCACCCCCCCCATCCCCCCGGGGACGGCGATGTCTACCTCAGGCCTGCGCGGTGCCCCACTCCGCTGGACCCACCAGCACCCATCGAATCTGGCGACGGTTTCGCAGATCGCAGCCCCCCGGGGACGGCGAGGTCTACCTCAGGTCCGAGCGGTGCCTCGCTCCGCTGGACCCACCAGCAGCCTTCGAAAGTGGCGACGGTTTCGCAGATCGCAACCCCCAGGGACGGCGAGGTCTACCTCATGTCCGCGCGGTGCCTCATTTCGCTGGACCCACCAGCGGCCTTCGAAACTGGCAACGGTTTCGCAGATCGCAGCCCCCCAGGGACGGCGAAGTCTGCCTTAGGCCTGCGCGGTGCCTCACTCCGCTGGACCACCAGCAGCCCTCGAAACCGGCAACGGTTTCGCATATCGCAGCCCCCCAGGGACGGCGAGGTCTCGCTCAGGCCTGCACGGTGCCTCACTCCGCTGGGCCCACCAGGATAGGACAGGAAGAAGCCGCGCCTAGACGGCGCATCGGCACACATTGGATTGAAAACGAAAGCCAGCAACCTCTGCAGAAAATTATGCGGAATGCACGGGGCGCCGGGGCGCATCCACTGTTCACTGACCAGTGCTGGGCGGCGGGTACATCTACACTCGCACATCGCACACTGAACATGCAAGAAGAAAGGGGGGAGGGAACGGGGGGGGAGGGGGGCGGAGGGAGCAGGGAGAAGGCGGGAACACGATTACATACAATAGTCATCAACGGCTTGGTGCCATTGTGCTGGAGAGCCTTGCAGCAGGTCGCGCAAATTGTCCTTGTCGCCCCCTGCTGCCTCTAGGGCCCGGGCGTGCACATATGTAGCCCATTGCAGACGCGGGTGCCCGCGAGAGCGTAAACTGTTCCATCTTTTCGGCTGGCAGCTCCCACTTTCGAACAGCATTGGCCTCCTGGGAGCTTCTTGGGGCGAAAGGCTAGACTTTTCGGTTCGTGGTCCCCCTCTTGGGGCCGTCTTGGGGCCCTCTTGGGCCGTCTTGGGCGCCTCTTGGGCCGTCTTGGCGCCCTCTTTGGCCGTTTTAGAGCCTCTTGGGAGCCTCTTGGACCGTATTGGGGCGGTCTTGGGGGCCTCTTGGACCGTCGTCAACGCCGTGAAAACCGAAAAGCCGTAAATGCTAAAAATGTATATTTTCCCGTGGGGAACCAATGATTTGGGCATCCTCGGGGCCTCTTGGGACGCCTCTTGGGGGCCTCTTGGGGCTTCTTGGGGGGCTCTTGGGGCCTCCTGGGAGCGTCTTGGGGCGGAAGGCTAGACTTTTCGGTTCGTGGTCGCCCTCTTGGGGCCGTTTTGGAGCTCTCGTGGGCCGTCTTGGGCGCCTCCTGGGCCGTCTTGGGGCCCTCTTGGGCCGTTTGGAGAGCCTCTTCGGAGCCTCTTGGGCCGTCTTGGGGCGGTTTGGGAGGCCTCTTGAGCCGTCGTCAGCGAGGTGAAAGCCGAAAAGCGGTATACACTAAAAATGTATGTTTACCAATGGGAAATCAATGGTTTGGGCCTCTGGGGGCCCTCTTGGGACGCCTCTTGGGCGCCTCTTGGGGCGTCTTGGAGGCCTCTTGGGACGTCATTGGCCGTCTTGGGCGGTCTTGGGCTCTCTTGGAGCGCTCTTGGGACGTCTTGAAGGTATCTTGGGCAGTCTTGGGCGGTTCTTGGGCTCTCTTGGAACGCCAAAGACGGCCCAAGAAACGCTCTTTTTTAAGCCCCAAAGGCCGTCCCACTCTATAAAGAACGAGGCGGAGCGGTCATTAACACCCATTCCCTCCCCTTACCCCCCCTTGTGCACTCCCCCTTAGGGGCTTCGCCCTACACCAGAACGTCATCACTCGTACCTCGCTCTTTCCGTTATCCGCTGCCCCTTTTGATTAATCAAAGGGGTGCCTGGAGTGCCAGATTATATGGCTTTTGGTGTTGGTTCTTTTTCGAAAAGAACTCCCCCTGGGGCTTCGGCCCGTCCCGCCGGCCACCCGGAAGAGGTGGTTGCAAACGGTTGTCCTGCCCCAGACGGCCCCAAGATGGCCTCCAAGACGGCACAGGAGGCCTTTAAGACGCCCAAGATGGCCTCCAAGACGGCTCAGATGGCCCCAAGATGCCTCCAAGACGGCCCAAGATGTACACTAGACAACCTAAGATAGCCTGAAGATGGCCCAAGACGGCCCAAGAGGCCCCCCAGAGGCCTCCAAGACGGCCCAAGCGGCCTCCAAGAGGTCCTCCAGGAGGGCCCGAAGAGGCCAGAATCAATTTCCCGTAGGTGGTTGAAGGATTTTGGAATTTGCTTCTTCTCGGCATTCCGACGGCTCAAGACGGCCCAAGAGGCCCCCAAGATCGGCCAAGAGGCCCCCAAGAGGGGCCCATGACGGCCCAAGTGGCCTCCAAGACGGCCCCAAGAGGGCCCAAGAGGCCTCCAACACGCCCAGGATGGCCTCCAAGACGCCCAAGATGGCCTCCAAGACGGCCCCGAAGCGCCCCAAGAGGGCCCCAAGTCGGCCCCCAAGACGGCTCCCGACGGCGTCAGACGTGCCAGGAACCCACCAAGATGGCCGAAGTTGGCTCGAAGCTGGCCCAAGACGGCCCAAGAGGCCCCCAAGAGGGCCTCCAGGAAGGCCAGAAAAGGCAAAACACATTGACTTGCTTGAGGTTTTTGACGGATTTTGACATTTGCTTCTTTTCGGCCTTCCGACGGCCCGAGACGGCCCAAGAGCCCCCAAAGATCGCCGAAAGATCGCCCAAGAGGCCTCCAAGATGGCCCCAGAACGGCCCGAGAGGGCCCCAAGACGGCCCCAAGAGGCCCCCAAGACGGCACAGGAGGCCTCCAAGACGCCCAAGATGGCCTCTAAGACGGCCCTGGAGCATTCCAAGAGGGCCCCAAGTCGGCCCATAGTCGGCCCCCAAGACGGCTCCCGACGGCGTCAGACGGACCAGGAGCCCACCAAGACGGCCGAACATGGCCCTAAGATGGCCCAGGACGGCCCAAGACGGCCCAAGAGGCCTCCAAGAGGGTCTGCAGGAAAGCCCGAAAAGGCAAAAATCATTGATTTCCCATAGGTGTTTGAAGGATTGTGGCATTTGCGTTGTGTCTGCCTTCGGACGGCCCGAGACGGCCCAAGTGCCCCCAAAGATCGCCCAAAGGGCCCAAGAGGCCCAAGGCACGGCCCCAAGAGGCCCCCAAGACGGCCCAAGAGGTCTCCAAGACGCTCAAGATGGCCTCCAAGACGGCCGAGGAGCCCTCCAAGACGTCCCCCAAGAAGGCCCGAAAGGGTCAAAATGGCCTCCAGACGGCCAAGATGACCTTCAAGATGCCCACGTGTTCCCCGAAGGCTTTCCAAACCGATTCGGGGAACACATGGTCCGATAACTTGGCAGGTCTGGCCTCAACGTTCGGCCACATAGGCGCTTCCAAAAAGGCAGGGGGCGGCGGTGAGTCGCCGTAGTTAGGCGTCTTCGATCCGCCGCCCTCTTCTCATTAATCAAAGGGGTGCCTGGCGTGCCGAACGATATGGCTTGTAGTGTTGGTTCTTTTTCAAAGAGAACTCCCCCTGGGGCTTCGGCCCGTCCCGCCGGCCACCCGGAAGAGGTGGTTGCAAACGGTTGTCCTGCCCCAGACGGCCCCAAGATGGCCTCCAAGACGGCCAAGATGCCTCCAAGACGGCCAAGATGGCCTCCAAGACGGCTCAGATGGCCCCAAGATGCCTCCAAGACGGCCCAAGATGTACCCTAGACGGCCTAAGATAGCCTGAAGATGGCCCTAGACGGCCCAAGAGGCTCCCAAGAGGTCCTCGAGGAGGGCCCAAGAGGCCTCCAAGAGGTCCTCCAGGAAGGCCCGACGAGGCCAAAATCATTGATTTTCTCTTGGTTTTTGAAGGATCTCGGCATTTGCGCCGTTTCGGCTTTCCGACGGCCCCAGACAGCCCAAGAGACCCCCAAGATCGCCCCAAGATCGCCCAAGAGGCCTCCAAGATGGCCCCGCGACGCCCCAAGAGGGCCACAAGACGGCCCAAGAGGCCTCCAAGACGCCCAAGATGGCCTCCAAGATGCCTCCAAGACGGCCAAGATGGCCTCCAAGACGTCTAAGATGGCCCCAAGATGCCTCCAAGACGGCCCAAGATGCACCCAAGACGGACTTAGATGGACCCAAAAGGCCCACAAGAGGCCTCCAAGATGGCCCAAGAGCTTGATGTTCCTAAGGTTTTTGACGGATTGTGACACTTGCTTCTTTTCGGCCTTCCGACGGCCCGAGACGGCCCAAGAGGCCCCCAAGGTCGCCCGAAGATCGCCCAAGAGGCTTCCAAGATGGCCCCATGACGGCCCAAGAGGGCCCCAAGACGGCCTCAAGAGGGCTCCAAGACTGCCCAAGGGGCATTTAAGACGCCCAAGATGGCCTCCAAAAAGCCCTCGATAGCCTCGAAGGCAGCCAAGATGGCTCAAGATGGCCTCCAAGATGTCTCGAACACGGCAAAGATGGCCTCCAAGACGGCTAAGATGGCCCCAAGATGCCTCCAAGACGGCCCAAGATGTACCCTAGACGGCCTAAGATAGCCTGAAGATGGCCCTAGACGGCCCAAGAGGCTCCCAAGAGGTCCTCGAGGAGGGCCCAAGAGGCCTCCAAGAGGTCCTCCAGGAAGGCCCGACGAGGCCAAAATCATTGATTTTCCCTAGGTGTTTGAAGGATTTTGGCACTTGCGCCTTTTCGGCATTCCGACAGCCCAAGATGGCTTCCAAGACGGACCCGAAGCGCCCCAAGAGGGCCCCAAGTCGTTTCAGAGAGGCCCCCAAGACGGCCCCCGACGGCGTCAGACGGGCCATGAACGCCACAAGACAGCCAAAGAAGACCCCGAGAAGCCCCAAAAGGGTCCCAGGAGGCCCTCAAGAGGCCCCAAGAGAGCCCAAGATAGCTCCAGCATGGTCTCCAAGACGGTCCCAAGATGGTCCAATCGAGCCCAAGAGTGCCTCAAGAGGCTCCGAAGTGGCAAACCCCTTCTCCTTTTCCCTCCTTCTCCTCCTCCTCACCTTCCTCCCCACCGCGTTCCCCGAAACCTTTCCAAACCGACTCGGGGAACACATGGTCCGATAGCTTCGCCAAGCTCTAGCCCAGCTGTCGGACACATAGGCGCTTCCACAAAGGCAGGGGGCGTGATTCGCCGTAGGCGTCTTCGATAAGGAACCAAGGGTCTGGAAGCCGGTGAAACTCAAATTGTGGATCCGCCATGGATATCACCGCTGCCCTCATCAGATAAGGAATCCCCAGGGTCTGGAGCCACCTGGGCCTGGGGCACATTCCTTAATGAACGCCCCCACCGTATCGTGTTGAAAAAAAGATGTGGGAAAAATGCAGGGCACTACTGTGTAAAAAGCACGTTCGACATACGCGATAATACGGATGATCCGATCATCTCTCCCAAACCCATCCTCCCAACCCGATACTTTCTGATTTCTGGAGCGCACCACCTCTACGTCCCGGAGGAAGGCGCTCAAAGAGCTGAGCTTGCGGCGCCTGTCAGCATCGACCGACACAGTAGGCACCGATAGTAAGGATGCGCGCTACAAATGCAAGGGCCTCGGAAGGCCGTGTCGACACTTTTCGAGCGGGGCGCGGCCAGCGAAAGTGGCCAAGGATGTGCCGAAGGAAAAAGATGAAAAGCCAACGTTGGAAAATCGATGAACCTCACTATCGCTGTGGACTGCCTCCCCATCTCCGCTGTGAAGGCCTCGGTCCTTTTGCCCGACCTGCCCCTGAGGAGGGGACAGACGCCTCTCCGTCGGGTCTCGCGGCTTCCATCCCCACCTCGAAGGAGCAGGATGCCGGCGCTGAGGAGCCCTAGACCACCAGAGATGGAGATGCCAGGACATCCGACGTCTTGACTCGGCGGCGAGCCTGGGGGGGAAGTGAGAAGGAGAAGGCTTTCTCAAAGGCTCAGACGCCCCCCAGCCTTCTGAGGAGTCTTCTAAGCCTTCCCCGAAGATACCGAAAACCTCTCAGAAGGCGCGAGGGCTTCTGAGTCCCCGCCGCTTTCTGAGAAGGCCTTCTCTTGCTCATTTCCCCCCCTCGCTCGCCGCCGATCGATGCTTCCAATGCGGGGGCCCCAAGAGTCCCGTTGCTTTCCCCGGGGCCGGCTTTCCATCCAGAGTCATCTCACAAAGTCTTACAGCCCCCCGTCCTGAGTTGTCCAAGGCGTTGGACGTTTGGGCTCCGAAAAAAAACTGGCCGCGGGACCTCTCCTGGGAGGAGTTCTGACCAGAGCTTCGAGGCGGATTCGGCTGCGGCGACGAGGAACCTCCCAGAGGCCCGAAAGGGCAAAGGATTCAGCCTCGAGGTTGTCATCGTCGTCGTCGTCGTCGTCGTCGGCGTCGGCGTCATCTGGGTAGGTCTGACGAGGCTGAGCCTGGAAGCCTCTGCGAACAGGCCCTGCGAGCCGAAGAGGTTGCCGGGCGACAGGGAGGACGGGCAGCGCCGGACGTGCTCGTGCGCGTCCAGGCCGCAGAAGCGCCCGCACCACGCGCAGAGGCCGGACCCGCACCTTGCGGGCAAGTTCTCAATCCACATCCACTGCTAGGGGGCCACATGCGAACCCTACCCCTACCCCCCACGATTTCTGAGGGGGAGGGTGGGGTTCACTTCGCTCGGGAGCTCCCGAGCAAAGTGAACCCCACCCTCCCCCTCAGAAATCGTGGGGGGTAGGGGTAGGGTTCGCATGTGGCTCCCTAACTGCGTCTCGGATTTTCGGCCTCTCTTCCCGGACAGCCCAAGGCGCAGCGGTTTCAGAGAGGCCAGATGCTTACCTATCCTCACGGTGAAGGCATTTGTGTACCTCTCCACGTCCGAAGACTTGCATGCATCAAAGAGCTCACGCACGGTGAAATTTTTGTGATGAGGGCTAAGGAGCCCTTGGATACGGAGTCCAGGGTCTGAAAGTAAAGCCCGCGGAACTCCAACCGTGGATTCGCCGTGGATCTCTCTGACGCCCACGAAGAATCCTCCAGGATCTGAAGCCTCCGTGGCACATTCGTTGACGAACGCCCCGGCCGTATCCACTGCGTCTCGGGATTTTGATATCTATTCCCCTAAAACCCGAGACGCCAAGGATAGGGATCTAGATCTCACGCAGACCTGCCGCAGGTCAGGGCGAAGCACGCGTCGAAGTCGACGAAAGCCTGGCAGGGTCTGGAATTCGAAAAATCTGCATAAGCATTGAAAAGAAGCCAGCATCGGGGCAGCATCGGATCCGGATAAATCGGGAATCTCTGAGATCAGGCGCTTCGGGAGGGTGTATCGGGCGCCGCGGCCATTCCAGAGCGCTCTGGAACGATCTGGGAGCGCTCCAGAACGCTCTGGAGCGATCTATCCCGATCCTAGGCATGACCGCAGAACAATCGGCGTAAACAGACGACGACGACGACGACGACGACGCTTCTTCTGCTTATGTGTCTTCTTATGATGTTTCGTATGCTTATCCTTATCAGCACAGACAGCAGAATATATTCCTCTTCTTCCCCTCATTATTATTATCCTCATCCTTCTTCTGTTTTTTTGGAATTACCATTATTATTATCAAGTACCTTCTTATTCTTCTTCTTCTTCTTCTTCTTTTTCTTCCCCGGTTTCTCGGCACCAGTCTCGGCATCGACGCGGATCAGACCGCGCCGGGCGGGCTCGGCATCGAGCCAGATAGATCGGATCGAGATGGGTCCTGCCTGGTGGCAGGTGGGGCACTTGAGCGTCAGGATGTCCTTCCGAGGAGCCCCAAAAAACTGCAGATGCATGAGCTGCCAGAGGTCCGCGCGGACTCCCCGGATCGGTGCTGGGCGCCCCTTCCTGGCGCGCGGAGCACGCCAGGGGCGGCGCCGAGGGCGCCGCCAGGGGGGTCGAGCGCAGATCCAAGCAATCCACGTGAAACTGCAACAGTTTACAGTCGGGGCGTTGACCTAAGGAACCCTGAATGAGGAACGAGGCCCCTTTTTTCCATGAGCTAACACTTCGATTTCCCATCGAAAACCGGAGGAAACCTTAGGCAAGCTGTGAAACAATTAAGGAGCACCGAGCCCTCCCCAACGAAAAGGTGTCCTTCTTCAGCGCCCCGACTGTATACCTGATTCCTTTCGGGGAAGGCGAAGTCCAGCTAGAGTCCCAGCAGTTACAGCGCCCGGGCTCCAGCTGCACGCGCCCCAACAGGACGCCGCGTCGCCAAGGGGGTGGCCGAGTTCAGGTGAAGGCCAACCAGACAGAGCCACTGGGGACCAAGTGTACTTACCCGGACATTCGACGCTGTGTTTGTTCACCACGTGGCTCCCCAGATCTCTGGGCCCTCTTTCAGGGGACCGATGTTGCATCCCGAGCGGGTTATGGACGACCCTGGGGCCCAGCGAGGGTCCCCAGAGCCCGTAGCCTGCCAAGAACCTCCCGTCGTGATTCTTCCAGACGCGAGGAGGTCAGGAGGTCAGGGCACTCCGACCGAACGTACCGTTGGAGGGTGTCTGCGCTGGGTGAGCCTCGAGAATCGGTCAAGAGGGGGAGGCGAGTGCAAATCCATTCAGGATCGGTCCTCAGACCTCTGACCCCCCCTGGGATCGAAATAGACTAGTTTTTCGAGCCGCGCCCAGCCGTGGCGACGAGAGGGCCTTTCTCTCTCCCCCCCTCTCATTGGCCAAAACCAACGCTGGGCCACCTCAGCCCCCCCAGCCCCAGGCAACCGACGCCTTGATTTTTTCAATGCGCTGTCCCCTCCTCTTCCTCCTCCTCCTCCTGCTGCTCCTCCTCCTCCTGCTGCTCCTCCTCCTCCTGCTCCTCCTCCTCCTCCTCCTCCTCCTCCTCCTCCGCCTCCTCCTCCTCCTCCTCCTCCTCCTCCTCTTCCTCTTCTTCCTCCTGCCGACGCTTTCACCAGGGCCAGCTTCTCGTCCTTAGTCGTGCTTGACGGCCCCGGGGTCCAATGAGGGGCCCCCGCAAAACCGAAAACCAGATCCGCTGGCCCCCTCGTGGGGCTACGAGGCTGCTGACCACCCACCAAACCACCCCAACCCAACCCGAAGACCTCAATCCCACCAGCCTTCTGGGCGCAGGTGGTCTGACGAGATTCCTCTTCCTTCTTCAAAAAAACCCTCTTCCCTTACGGGGAGGGGTTTACCCCTCCCCTTACCCCTCCCCTGGAATTTGTTTGGGGGTTCCGCGAGGTGTCACGGCGTCCAAAACAGCCTCGGCGAGGAAACTAACATCATTGGTTGTACTAAGGTGTGGGCCCCATTTGGGCCTCTTTGGGGCGGCTGAACGTTATCCCATATCCTCCTTTGGTCGATGGCCTTCAAGGTGGCCCCAAGAGGCCTTCCAGGGCTCCCAAGAGGGCCAGAGCCCCAAGAGGGCCCCGAGAGGGCCCCAAGACCCCTAAGAGAGCCCCAAAGAGAGCTCCAATACCTCCCAAAGAGCCCCAGGAAAGCTCCAAGAGGCGATTTTGAGGGCTCCTGGAAGGGGCCGAAATCGAGGACCCCCCATCTTTTGATCGACCTCCTCCTCCTCCTCCTAGTCCTCCTCCTCCTCTTCCCCTCGCCCCCACGCGGCCCCCAGGGATGGCCCGAAGAGGCCATCCAAGGCCACCCCCTTGCTCCCAGAGATCTCTCGGTTCATCATGGTTGCTCGCTTTGTTTCACTAGATGTGTCCCTTCGTCCCTATTCCCTTCAGCTCTCGTGGGAAGGGCTTCTGAATGGGCTGGTGGGGATACTTTTGATCGGGACCGCGACGAAAGAAAGTCGGGCGGCGTCCAGGGTACTGCAAGAAGCAACGGCCTAAATTAGCGCAAGGAAGAGGCCATCTTGGGAATCTTGGAGGCCGCTTGGGTCGTCTTTGTGCCCTCTTGGGGCCGTCTTGGGGGCCTCTTGGGCAGTCCTGAGGCCATCTTGGAGGCCTCTTAGGGCGCTGTAGGTGCGATCTTTGGGGGCTCTTGGGCCGTATCGGGTCGTCGGAAGGCCGAAAAGGAGCACATACCAAAATCCTTCAAAAACCAATAGAAAATCAATGATTTTGGCCTCTTCGGGCCCTCCTGGAGGACCTCTTGGAGGCCTCTTGGGCTGTCTTGCAGGCCTCTTGGGGGCCTCTTGGGCCGTCTTGGGCCATCTTGAGGCCATCTGAGGCCGTCTTGGGTGCATCTTGGGCTGTCTTGGAGGCATCTTGGGGCCATCTTAGCCGTCTTGGAGGCCATCTTGGGCCTTCTTGGAGCCGTCTGGAACGGGAAAAACGCTTTGCAACCACCTCTGGGCAATCCTCCCGGGACCCCGGCGGGACGCGCTGGAGCCCCAGGGGGAGTTCTTTCGGAAAAAAACCAAAACCAAAACCGAAATCGTCTAGCACGCCAGGCACCCCTGTGATGAATCAACAGGGGGCGGCCCGGGAGGATTGCCCAGAGGTGGTTGCAAAAGGTTTTTCCTGCCCCAGACGCCTTCAAGATGGCCACGTTGGCCCAAGATGGCCTCCAAGTTCGCCCAAGATGGCCTCCAAGACGGCCCAGAAGAGGAGGAGATGCCTCCAAGTCGCCCAAGAAACCTCCAAGACGGCCCAAGACGGCCCAAGAGGTGCCCAAGAGGCCTCCAAGACGGCCCTAGAGGCCTCCGAGAGTTCCTCCAGGAGGGCCCGAAGATGCTAAATTCCTTTGGTTTTTCTTTTCACACACACACACATATAATATACAAATACATATACATATACATATACATATATATATATACATACATACATACATACATACATACATACATACATACAGACAGACAGACAGACAGACAGACAGACAGACAGACATACATACGTGTGTGTGTATATATATATATCCGCCGATCCGGCGTGTGAGTTTCTGAGAGCGTGGACTTGAGCTCGCTCAAGCTTCGCTCTGCAGGGGGGGGGGGGGGGGGGGCACGTTGTTTCCGACGTCATGTCCGACGTGTTTCGGTACACGGGGCTATTTCCGATGTAATTTCCGACGTTTTTCGGTACCCGGGGACAGGGGGGTATAGAAAACTCCACTTCCAGAGCCCCGACCGCCCAGGACAGCCCAAGAGGAAGCCAAGAGAGGCCCCAGAGGCCCCCTAGACAATGCAAGAGGGCCCCCCGGATCGGCGGCACTGGCCGGAGGCCAGCCCTGTATGTATGTATGTATATATATATATATATATATATATATATAAGTTGTTTGTATGTGCTCCTTTTCGGCTTTCCGACGACCCAAAACAGCCGAAGAGGCCCCCAAGATCGCCCCCACGGCGCCCAAAGAGGCCTCCAAGATAGCCTCAGGACTGCCGAAGAGCACCCCAAGACGGCCCCAAGAGAGCACAAAGACGACCCAAGAGGCCTCCAAGACGCCCAAGATGGCCTCCAAGACGGCCCTGGAGCACCCCAAGAGGGCCCCAAGTCAGCCCAGAGAGGCCCCCAAAACGGCTTCCGACGGCGTCGGACGGGCCAGGAGGCCCACCAAGATGGCCGAAGTTGGCTCGAAGCTGGCCCAAGACGGCCCAAGAGGCCTCCAAGAGGGCCTCCAGGAAGGCCAGGAAGGCCCAAAACACTGGTTGTCCTTAGGTTTTAAAGGATTTTGATGTTTGCTTCTTCCCGAGACGGCCCAGGATCCCCCAAAGATCACCCAAGGATCGCACAAGAGGCCTCCAAGATGGCCCCAGAACGGCCCAAGAGACCCCCAAGACGGCCAAAAGAGGCCCCCAAGACGGCCCAGGAGGCTTCCAAGATGGCCTCCAAGACGGCCCTGGAGCATTCCAAGAGGGCCCCAAATCGGCGCAGAGAGGCCCCCCAAACGGCTTCCGACGGCGTCAGACGGACCAGGAGCCCACCAAGACGGCCGAAGATGGCCCTAAGATGGCCCAAGACGGCCCAAGAGGCCTCCAAGAGGGCCTCCAAGAATGCCCGAAAAGGGCAAAATCATTGATTTCCCATGAGTGTTTTTTAAGGATTGTGGCATTTGCTTTGTTTCGGCCTTCCGACGGCCCGAGACGGCCCAAGTGCCCCCAAAGATCTCCCAAGAGGCCCAAGACGGCCCCAAGAGGCCCCAAAGGAGGCCCCCAAGGAGGCCCAAGAGGCCTCCAAGACGCTCAAGATGGCCTCCAAGACGGCCCAAGAGCCCTCCAAGACGTCCTCCAAGAGGGCCCGAAAGGGTCAAAATGGCCTCCAGACGGCCAAGATGACCTTCAAGATGCCCACGTGTTCCCAGAAGGCTTTCCAAACCGATTCGGGGAACACATGGTCCGATAGCTTGGCAGGTCTGGCCTCAACGTTCGGCCACATAGGCGTTTCCAAAAAGGCAGGGGGCGGCGGTGATTCGCCGTAGGCGTCGTCGATAACGCCAACGTCTCAGTATGCGCTGATGATTCCTATCCGCCCCCGCATGATGTTCCCAGATGCGCCAAGGCAGCGCCGAGACGCACCGACGCGACCCTTATATCGCATTGCGATAGAGGGGGCCAGCAGCAGGGGGCGAAGCCCTTACGGATAAAATATCCGTCTCGATTCTTCGTAACTTTGGAGGTTTGGGTTTCTGCTGGCTGGAACTACTGCTCGGCCACCTCAGACCCCCAGCTGGTTCCAAACTCAGCGTCGGCCGATTTTTCTTCGAGGATCCTTGCGGCAAAATTTCACATCGCGGAAAATCACGACCCGAGCCGGGTGTGAAACAAATGCACCACTCGGACCTCGGGGGAACCAGTTCGGCTACACACAAGAGGGACCCTGGGCAAGAGTGACCTTTGGTACGCGGCTCAACGGGGGACGCGGGGTGGCCAAACCTGGGCGCGCAAGCCGCTGCTACCGCTTCGCATTCAGCCATCTTGGGACCCATCAGCGCCCGCACCAAAGGTCACTGAGGTCACTCCGGCGAAAGGTCACCCTCACGTCTAGTCGAAACCAGTGCCGGGCCACAACAGGCCTCAAGCTGGCTCCAAGCTCAGCGCCAACCGAATTTATTCATGCCCTCCGCGACGCGGCCACAGAGGTCCCGACCCCTTCCCTGGGGGCAGACTTCCATGACTGCATGGGAGAAACGAACAGAGCTTCGCGAATGCGACTAACTTTCGGTCGGGCCTGTCCTCCTACAGGGGATGTCGGGCGAAAAAAATCCCCTCCAAAAAATACTCCGAAAATGATCAAAAATAGTCAAAAAAATCGTTCCCATACTATTTGTCCCTACTTCTGAGTATCCCTCCTGTGGAGGGGCGCGCCCGGCTGAAGACTGGCTGCACATGCTCACAGCACTTGTGGAGGCCGCCTGCCGCCCCGCGCACCACGGACGCCCCGCGCGAGACGGCGCAGAGCCCGAGAACGAGCTCTACGGAGCCTGTGCTCGTCGCTGCGGCAGGGTGCGGCCGTTCGCCCCCGGATCCGCTTCGCGCAGGGCCCCGGGGCCCGGCAAGGGGCCCCGACCGGGCGTTGGCAGAACTGGGCTTAGCGGGACCTGGTTTCGTGATGCTTGCTGGGGGACGCACCCCCCGCCCCGTTCCGCTGACCGGAACTGCCGTCACCCGAGAAAAAAAAACACTGGCTGCGGCAGACCTGGGCTCATGATTCTGGCCAATTTCGGGGCTCCGGGGCCCTACCACTAACCGGGTCCCCTTGCCTGGGGTCCTGGCTACACCCGGCCCGAAGGCGCAGCTCGGGGAAAGACGCCGGCATCGGGAACATCATGCCATCGAAAAGCTGGGAGGAGGCCGCGGCACTCCAGCCGGCCAGCTCCGGAGGCCCTGGAGCCAAAAAGCTTGCCATCACTGGGGGGCACATTTCCTGCCTCCGCCGCCTTCCGCTGGCGGAGCCGCCTCCGTTTCACTTCCGCCGCCTTCAGCCGGCTTTCCGCCGCCTCCCGCCGAGGGAGGGATGGCAACTCCTTCCATCCTCGAAGGCGAGGCTTTTCTAGAGCGCCCCATGTGGGCCGACGAGATCTGTACATATCCACTGCCCCTCCCTGGCCAGGCCGATCCTGGACCCAGCAGCGGTGCGTACGCAAGGCCCTCCTGGCTTGGCCAGGAAGGGCGTACATACAGGTCCTGGGCGCAGAATGGGCCCGGCCAGGGAGCCGTGGACACAGTCAAAAAGACGATTAAGAAAGCTGGGCCAGCTTTTCAGAAGTTTCGTAAACGCTGGGCCAGCTTTTCGAGCCGAACCGGCACGAACCGGAACTGGAGCGCTACCAATCCCCGTAAGAAACTGAGCCAGCTTTCTGGCAAGTTGGTCGAGAAACGCTGGGCCAGCTTTTCGGGGGGAGGTCTCTTAATCAGAAGCGGGACCGTACTCCAGATTTCGTAATAAAGGGAGGGGGGTCTCATTTCGGGGGGGTCTCTTCCAGGCTATCTTGGAGGGCCTGGGGGGTCTGAGGACGATGTTTGGGAGGGTTCTCCCACGGGGGAGGTCTCAAATGGTTTGTCTTGGAGGGTCCAGACCCCCTACCTTTTATTACGAAACCTGGAGTATGTATAGATTTCGTCGCCCGACCATGGCTTGGCTCGGCGCCGGTCGGTTTTACTCCTCGAGGTCCTCCACGACGCGGCGCCGGAGGTCCTGCACGCGCTCCTCGAGGCAGAGCGTGGCGCGCGCCCGCTGCACGGCCTCCCGCTCTGGGCGCCGGCGGTCGGCCCTGCCGGCCCAGAGGGGCGGGCGGCGCTTCGGAGGAAGCCAGGCAGACCCTCCAGAGGCCAGAGAACACAGTCCTTGTGCAGACCCCCCCAGCCCATTCCGTTGTGACAAAACCACACTGAGCTTTGGCCAACTGTTGGCCCCCAGGGGCCCTTACCAGACCCCAGGACAGTCCAAAAACGCCTCAGGACGAACGACCGGGTCCGCGAGAAGTGGTCCAAGCCTCTGGGAAGCCAGGTTAAGCAGGCCTCTGGCCTTCTGAGAAGCTTTCCGAGCCGTCTCCGAAACCACGGAGGACTTCGCCGCCTCCGGAGAATGCCTGCCCCCTCGCTTCCTTCTTCGGCGCGCCGCCGAAGCCAGGCAGACTCTCCAGGGGCCAGAGCACCCAGTTCCCAGACCGCATGGTATCGAGAAAATCAAGACAAGGTTTTGTTCGTAATTGTCGGCCTCTTGGGGGGACTCGCCCGGCCACAGGACCGTCAAGAAACTACCCAGGATGAGAAGCCGGCCCTTGAAGAACGGGTCGGGACATATCTGGGGACCGCACAGTGACAAACACAAAGCAGCGGACGCCTGGGCTCTCCAAAGCTGTGACATGTTCAACCCGCGTTGTTCATCGAGTCGGGCCTCCCAGGGCCCGTCATCGGTCCCGGGACTATCAAGATGGATCTGGGGCCAGAAACCGGGCCCGGTGAAGGAGTCGGGACCTCAGCTGCAGCGCATTGGAAAATCGCATCGTCGGAGGCCAGAGCATACACGTCGTTCATGTCTAATCGTGCTCATTTCTAATTGTGCTCGTTTCTGACTGGGTTCTAGCTGTTCCTGGCCCCCTAGTGGCCAGGAAGATGCCCAGGATAGAACAATCAGAAATGGAAGGATCTTGGCCCCCCCAAAGAAACAATGCACTTTCGAAGAAATTGAAATGAACAATGTGTACCCATCGGTTGGAAGAAGCGGGTAGAAACATGAAGTAGGAGGGGGTTGAAACTATGTAGATTGGATATCCGCCCGCCCGCTGACGACGAGGGAAGAGGGAAAACCACTCGACTCTTCAAGTAGGAAGACGTCTAAAGTGGATTGGGATCAGGGAATGGAAATTTACCTGAGATTATCACGAGCCCCGACCTTGAAATGCAGGTGGGGATGATTTGTGAGAGTGGCAGATGCAAGCAAGGATCTGCCTCTTGGGGGCTTGATGGGACGACGGGGAAGGAGCTCCGACGAAGAAATGTGCGTCAATCATGGTGTTCGTCTCGTGTTTGTTGTTCCTGGGGGCTTTTTGGGGGAGTCCCTCGTGAACCTACCCGCAACGACCGATGGGCACAGCCATCGTGCTACAGTCGGGGCTTTGACCTAAGGAACCCTCAATAAGGAACGGGGCCCCTTTTGTCCATAAGTTAAACTTTGACTTCCCATCGAAAACCCAAGGACAACATCGGGCAAGCTGTAAAACAATGAGGGAGCACGGAGCCCCTCCCCAACGAGAATGGTTCCTTCTCCGGCGCCCTGACTGTACCACCGGGAGCGCCGAGCCAGGAGCGGAGAGGCGGCGCCGCTCCGGCCGCGGCGGGCCTCGGCCGCGCACCAGGGAGGCCCCCCCCGCAACCTGGAGAGCCGAGGGGCCGCCCCCGAGCCCGGAGCCGGAGGCCTCTCAGACTCGGCGGCGAGCTAAAACGACGCGAAGATCGGGACAAAATCGGATCGGGATAACTCGAAATCTCTGAGAATCGGCGGGCTTGGAGGATGTATTGGGCGCCGCGGCCGCTCCAGAGCGTTCCGGAACGCTCTGAGAGCGCTCCGGAACGCTCTGGAGCGATTTATCCCGATCCTAGCCCTGTTTTGCGAGCGAAGGGGGGGCGAGTGAGAAGGAGAAGGCCTTCTCAAAAGGCGGCGGGGCTCCTCAGAAGGCCTCGCCTTCTGAGGGGTCTTCCCCTGTCTTCGGGGGGGGATCGGGAAACTTCTCAGAAGGCCTCGGCACTCCTGGGCCTTCTGAGAAGGCCGGCCCCTTCTCACTTCTCACTTCCTCACTTCTCCTTCTCCCAGAGGGGGGTCCGAATGGATGGGGTCGGAGGATCGCGCCGTGTCCCCGAGTTTCTGCTCGTGCCGCTGCGCGGCCTTCTGCCCTCGTGGCCTCCGAGGTGGGTGTGCCTGGGGGGGCGGGGCTTCGGGCCAGGCCTCCCAGACGGGGGCGGAGCAGCTCGGGTCGGAGGATCGCGCCGCATCCCCGATGCATTCGGCGACGCGGCTCGCTGTGGAGCCTGATTTTCTCCGCGCCGACGTCGCCGATGTACCGCCAACGTCGCCGATGCATCGGCGACGCATTGGCGATGTGTCATTGATGCATCGGCGATGCATCGGCGATGTGGCGCGATCCCCCGACTCCGTCCGCTCGGACCACATCTGGGAGGCCCAGAAGAGCCCAGAGATCAAACACATCCTTGAAGAACCTCGCCCTCCTCGGCCACCATCGGAGCCCTGGGCCCGCCCCGGGACCGTCCGGAGACGACTCCGGGCGGAGAGCCGCTCCCAGGGAGTGGGTCGACCCACTCCCAGGGAGTGGGTCGACCCACTCCCTCGATCGAGACTTCTGGGGCCCCCGCCTCGACAAAAAAAAAATCCAGGCGTGCCGCAGCGCCGTTTTGCTCTCGGCGCGCCCAAAAGGGCGACGCCGGCACCGCGGCCAACCCACGACAGGCCCCGCGCCCCGCGCCCAGGCCAACGACGCCCGCGCCGCGGCGAAGCCCACGGCGAGCCCACCGCGCCCGAGGCGGCGGTTGCCCGGGTGGCCTGGGCGCCCTCCCCAATTGGGCGTGGCTTAATGGGGGGGTCACAAATGGGGGGGTCAGAAAAGGTCTCCTTTCGTGCCCCTTTCGGGCCCCTCCAGAGCCCCAGGGGGCTCGTTTAGGTACCGTTTGGGTACCTTTTCGGACCGCGCTCGCCACCCCCCCATTCATGACCCCTCCATTACGCAACGCCCAACCCAAGAGAGAAGGCCGCGCGCCGGAACACACGGCGCGGCGGCGGCGTGGTGCTTGCCGCAGCGTCCCGGCTGCAGCCCAGAGCTCGGCGGGCGCGCACCAGTGGGCTGGCCGAGGGGGGCGGCCCTCTGCGCAGGCGGGGGGGGGGGGGCTTCCCAGAAGGCAGGCGGCTTCCCGGAGGCCCCCCGCCCGGCCTCGGAGAGGGCCTTTCGGGAGGCCTCCCAGCGCGGCCATCCTGAAGAGGCCCCTGCCCTTCTTTGAGGAAGAAACTATCGTGCTGGGAGGAAGGGGCTAGGAAGATACAGGGCACGACTTTGTGATAAGCACCTTCAGCATACGCGGTAAGATTGATGATATGATCATTTCTCCCAGCCCCATCCTCCCAACCCGTCTTCCTGACTCCTGGACGACCAGCTCCCCCCCGCCAGGCCTCCCGGCTCTTCTGAGAAGACCCTTTTTCAGAAGGCCTTCTGAGAAGGCCTGTGCCTCTCAGAGGCCTCCAGGCCCTTCTGAGAAGGCCCCTGCCTCTCAGAGGCCTGCCAGGGCCCTTCCGAGAAGGACCCCCCCCCACACCCACCCCCCGAGGCGAGCAGAGAACCCCTTAGATTGGCGGCGCGCACAAGGCGGTTGGGGCAGGGGGGAAGGCTTCTTAGAAGGAGGCTGAAGCCTTCCCCACATCCCCCTGCCCCCCTCTGCTCGTGACTGGCTAAAGCCGACGAGAGCTTCCGAGAACCGCCCGAGCGCTGGCCGCGCCAGCGTTCCCAGACGACCTGAGCTGTGGATTCTCTTGCTTGGCCACTGGAGCGCCCCCAAACATGCGATGCTTTGATGCTCTTTCTACACGGGGCCCCCGAAGTCCCGACCCTTTTCCCAGGGCCGGATATTCATCCCGAGTCGCCTTTGGACGACCCCAGGGCTCGGTCAGGGCCCCAGGGGATCGACAGCGGCCAATAACCTCCAGTCGTGAATTTGTTTTGCGACGCGAGCATGTGTGGATCCTGCTTTGGCTGCTGCTGCTGCTGCTACCGCCGCTGCTACCGCCGCTGCTGCTGCTGCTGCTGCAGCTGCTACTGGGCCCCCTGGCCCCCCCCTGGCGGCGGCACGGCGACCACCAGAGCTAGCGCAGCGACCCGCAGGTCGACCAGGGACTGAACATACCTCTTGGGAGGGGGGGTGGACCCTGATAGAGCCACGAACCTCGACCTTAGAGCACTTGTGGGCATACATGAAACGAGGAAGGAAGCTGGAGATGGGAAGAGCGTGAAGAGCGAGGCGGCAACGGGGAAGAGGAAGGAAGGACACGGGAGTAGAGAAGAGGGAAGTGTCATGTTGGTTCCCACGTTGTGTGTGTGTGCTTTCACTCAGCGCGACAGGCGTCCTGGGGCCTTGGAGGACCAATCGGGAATATACTGTTTAAGCGCCTTTAGAAGTCCCTGGGAGCCTCCCAGTGGCGCTTTTGGGATGTACTGGAAGCTCTTCATGGACATGTTGGAGATGTTTCGGCCGTTCAGGGCTGTTGGAGCGAGGGTGTCTTCCAGAACTACATCCGTGACGTGAGCGGGGGGGAATATGGAACGATGCTGCTTGGAACAGCCCGGCTAGTGCTATCGTGAGCGACGCGGACAGGCGCGTTTGGCAAAACATCGGTTTTTCACTTACTGAGGGATGGCGACAGAGGAGGAGGAGGAGGAGCAGCAGCAGCAGCAGCAGTGGCAGGAGGAGGAGGTTGTGGAGGTGCTCGATGATCTCAGAGATCGAGACCACGAGCAGCGCCCAAGACCCAATCTCTCTGCCGCATTTCTTGGGCCAGATCGACCTGCGATGGCCCCCGGGCCCGAAAAGAGGAACCCCAGCCCGCGGTGGAACCATGCGACGCCAGGATCTCAGGGGAGACCTGGAACCCCCGCGGCGCACCTGTCGAACAGGGCCCCGTCCAGGCACGCCGCCAGCTCCCCGTGGCCGTAGGCCGGGGCGGCGCAGGGCCGCGCCGGGCAGCGGACGCGGCCGCAAGGGGCACCCGCAGCGCCGCGAGGGGCGGGCGCCGAAAGGCCGTCGCCTGCGGGACGCGGCTCGGGCTCGGGGGGGGCGGGCCGTCCTGCACCCGACGTCCTGGGCGGGTCGGACTGGGGGCCCGGAGATCCTGGCGCTTCCAGGTTTTCGGGCCGAGCGCTTTCGCCTTCCTTCGGGCCCAAAAGGGCCCTCGCCGATCGATCCGGCTCGATAGAAAGGGCGCGGCGAGGATGGGGCCCAGGGCTCCGGGCGTGACTTCCTACGATGCCGCAATGGCTTCGCTGCGCCGGATCTCGGGGGGGGGGGGCCAGGGCGGCGGGGCGAGCCTTCACGCACAGGGCGAGGGGGACCGGGCGGGCGAGGGGGGGAGGGTCGGCGGACGAGGGGCTCGGAGGAGAGGGGCGGGCCGTCCCTCTGCAGCACTGCCCGAGGTGGGTCGCTCTGCGATGGCCCCAGGGCCCAGAGCCGGGCGAGCACGCCCGGCGTGGAAAGAATCATCTCCCAGATCTCGGGAGCCCATGTCTTGCATGATTCGCGAGAGCGCCCGTGACCAGCCCCGTGCCGCCCCCCCATCCCCCTGCTCGTTCGAACATCCCCACCCCTCCTCAATCGAGCGACGCAACGATGACAGTTGAATGTACGTCGGAACCTTTTGCCGAACGCTGCAAGGCTATCTTCCGGTAGTGGTGCCATAGGGTCGTCATCACATCAGCCTTCAGCATATCGGCCCAGGTGTCCGCCTCATGAGCAGGCGGTAAGGGGCGCTAGCGGCAGACGAGGTGCTTGTGAAATCCCCCAGACCTCGCACCAGCGAAAAACCTGGTGAGTGTGCAGGCGTCGCGCAGTGTTCACTTGACGCTGTTCCTCAGTCGCGCGTCCTGTCACTGGCTCGGTTGGAGTCCTCGTGCCTTTTCGAGCTACGGTGGACGAATCTGCCAGGCAAGAAAGAAGTATCGATTCCTTCTGTTTGGGCCCTTTCAACCTGACGTACTCGACACATATTCACAAAGTTTCGGTTGCGTGGTGAAAAGAAGAGCTTGTCCAATCCGTTCCCTTCGACATGCGAAAATGGCTGCTGCATTTGTTGCACAATGCGCCCGTGCCTGTCACGACTCCGGTGTGGCGTGCCTTAGTGCCACGCCAGCGGAACTGCAAGGTGGCATGGCCTTGGTAACGGCCAGATCCATGCTCAGGAAACGCGTTGTTGCTTGTTTGATGGAACTGCATTGCCGAGGAAGGCCATCCGATGCATTTGCTGCTGTCTGACTGTGTCCAGATGTGCTTGAAGTTCGTATTCCCCCCACACAAGCGTTGGCGAAGAAGTAACAAAATGATCAAACATGTTTGGAATGCTTTTAATGCGTGCCTGTCGTTGCTGTGGTCGTCGATGCGCTGTAACTTGAAGTACGTCCGTAAGACTGCGCTTGTGGTGGAGCCCCAGCACCGGTGAGCTCTGAGGAGGCGAGAGCGGCCGAAGGGCTGGACTACCCAGGAAGTCTGCAGCGTACATAGCCCATTGCACTCGCAGCTTGTAGCCATTGAGGTTCCCGCGTCAACGCAAAGATTGTTTTCGACGGCTCTTGAGTCCTTAACGGGATTGTACTCCTGGACTGCCCAACGCGGGTGCTGTTGGCATTGCTCATGTCACTCGCTGGTCTGCCCCCCAGGCCTGTCGCATCGCACAGAGATGGCCAGAGCATCTCACTTACCTGTGAGGAGACAGTCGCCTGATGACAACAAAGTGCGCTACAGGCTGATGCGGCGCGTACGGCTGCAGGACGCCCGCTTCTTTGCTACCAGGGCTGGCCTGGAAGAAATCGCTCGCGCACAGGAACGGCTTGAGATTTTGAGCCGCAAGCCACCCACCAACGGCATTTAAAAAAGAAGGGCGCTTCTGTGCAGTTGCCCATCCCTCGGAGGGGGGGGCTCCCTAAATCTTAGAGGGCCCGTTCCAGCTGTGGGCGATGTAATTCCCGATTCGGCTGCGCGGACGTGCGCGGCCAGGAACACCTGCGCCATGTCGAGCTGGCCAATCCGAAGCCTCCAGTGTCTTCTACACCGCCTTATGGCAGCGGTTGAAGACGCATACGCCCCCACTGACATGTATGACCAAGGTAACATTATGTTGACGGCATGCTGGGCTGGCAGTCGCTGGGGGGGCATGCTTCCTGGAAGCGCTTGGAGGCTAAGTGGTCCGCAGACTGCGGCCCGGTTGCGCTCGCTCCGCAGTTGCACCTCGTGCTTGGCCCTGCTAGAAAAACGGTGGCCGCTCGAAGGGTGAACTTTGCCCTGGAAGCCCGCGGTTGCAGGTGTCACGTGTTGCGCCCCCGCTGATTGTGCGATCCCCTCCATGCGGCGAGCAGTGCATGCAGCAGTGAAGGCATCCACTGACCAAGGGAGCTCTGCCGAGCAAACTTGGATCCTCACACGCACACGCGCGCGCCTAGCCTGTGCTCCAGTCAAGCACCGTGATGGGCGAAACGCCCCTGCAGCCTGCGAGAGTCTGCTCTGGGAAGACATGATGCCTGTTGACCTGGCTGTGCTGGAAAAGGCTGTGCGTGGCAAAAGGTTTGGGACATCCACGTGAGGCCATCTCAAGGTGTGTTGTTTCAGAGTGTGTTGTCGCATATGCCATCCGCCTGTTCGACCCTCCAGTTTTCGCCCAGGGGACATCGAAATGCAGCTCGCGCTTCTTCCAATGACTTGTTTCGAAGCCCTGTGTACAAACCATGCGTGCCAGCTGTTGAACCGCTCTCCAGTCCAGCATGCGAGTTAAAACCAGGGGCCCCTCATGGCGAAGCCCTTGCCCCACATGACAAATTCAAAAAGATCATGTTGCGGGTCCCTGTCATCACTTACCAATGGTTGCTAATTAGCTATCGCCATGACCTCTACAGATTTGCGGTTGAAAGGGCTTGATTGGCATTATGCGAGCATGTCTTGGTGTTCACCGATACTGGAACGTCCTCCCAAGCGTTTGCTACGGCACTATAAATCAAAATTCGTTCGGAACGGAATTCGGACCCGCAAACAGTGGCATTCGTGTTTCCCGAAGGTGGTCTCCTATGCCGCGTGGCCACTGCGCCGACGATGGCGTTACATCCATTGGGCTTTCGAGTCCATCCTCCGAGAGTTCGGGATCAGCGATGAGGTCTGGACAGTGAACAGGGCTGCCGACGATATGACAGTCTGGTGCCGCGAGGCTAACATTGGTTGCCATCGTCTGAGCTGTGCCCGTTGCCACTGTCACATGCACAAGCCTCACACCGTTGAACTGGTAGCGGACGCAGGACAACAATTCGAGTCCGTAAACCCCAGGAACGCTATCCAGCCTTTTTCCTGCCATCGTTTCCTGTCGCCGCGATGCCACAGGCAGGAGCGTCGCAACGGTGCTCAAGAACAATTCGAGAAAAGAATGGCTCGAAAACTCGATTGGTCCGCGCATCGAAAAGGCTGTCGAGCCTGAGCTACATGACCGTGCGCTTGCGTTCACAGCATGCATGCTCATACCCGTGTGTGCTTTGGAAGACATGGTTTTCACAATAGAAAATATAAAGTTAAATATTGCCGATAGCGCTGCCCTCAGGGAGCAGCAGTTCAAATGGCGCTGCGACGCGGGCCGTCGGCGCAGCGCTAGCTTGGCCTCCACCAGCGCGGCCTGGGCCCAGGTTGCCCGCGGGCGGTACTTGGAGGACGTGCTGTGGGTCAGTTCCACGCGTTTGGGGTTGTATGAAGGAAGCAGTGGTTCTTGCGTATTCTGTGCCTGTCCATATGACCCCACGGTCGAACATCGCAATCTGCTTGGAACGTCGTGTTCACACGGCCGACGCTCACTGGAGCATGGCAGTCAAGCCGTGGGTGTTCCCCCTTCATTAGACGAGCGCGTTCCACTACTCGCAAAGTAACTACTCGCAAATGGCCTGGATCCGCCGAGAGGGATCTACGATACATTACATCACAGCAGACATGTTGTTTGACGCTTGCGAGTGGGCACTTTGCGAGTAGTGGAACGCATTCGGTGATTCATTGGGTTCACCTCGCGGCTACGCTCGCGGCCTCCTGGCCCCTGGCCGCCCGCCTGCGCGAGTGGGCCTGTCTGGGGATGATGAGCTTGAAGCTGGGCATCACGTTTTGGCCAGCTTCCGTGATGCACCAATGTACGGTTCGCACGCAGCGGGCTGCTGTCTCTGTGTGTGTACATCGGCGGCGAGCCTGCGGGGGAAGTGAGAAAGGGCGGGCCTTCTCAGACGGATCCGAAGCCCCCCCGGCATTCTGAGAAGGGTTCTGAGCCTTCCCCGAAGACACGGAAAACCTCTCAAAGGCGAGAGAGGTCTTCGGAGAAGCCCCGCCGCCTTCTGGGAAGGTCTTCTCCTTCTCACTTCCCCCTCGCTCGCCGCCGAGTTCAAGTTGGCTGCCCTTTAGCAGCCGCTTCTGCTTCGCGCTACCCAGTGCGTGGGGCAGCGGCGATCATGACGGCCCCTGCATGATGCCACCGCTGCGCGCGCCACCCTCGCTCCCTGGCCGGGGGTCTGCGGAGGGGACCTTCCGCGACGAGCCGTTTCTCTCGCCCAGCGTTTCGCGCGAAGCTTGCGATGGGGTGGCTGCTCGGGCTGCTGGTGCTCTTGCGGTGGCAGCTAGCGGACGCTGGTGGCAAGTGCAAGGGCGGCAAGGGCGGCAAGGTCTACAAGATGGCGCCGTGGCAGCAGGGGCACCGCTACTGGAACTCCAACCAGGGACGGGAGTCCCGTGGCAGCGGCCAGGAGAGGCTGGATCGCATGGAACACTTGCTCAAACAAGCGTCAGGCAAGAAGAAACAAGATAAGAAAGAAAAGAAGTCTGCCCGTGACTCCAGCTCGTCTATTTTATCTTCTGACACCTCACGCACACCTGGCAAGAACAAACATAAGAAGGACAGCAATAGAGAACGTGCTAAGAAACACATGAAGATATAGCATTTAAAAAACGGGCCAGGTCTCGCGATCGCGGTCGTGCGAGTGGTCCTGGTGGCCCACCCAGGGCGTTCAGCAGCTCGGAGCGGAAGGAGCTGGACGACCTCCGCAAACAGGCGGACATTGCCAAGCTGCGGGGGAAAGTCTTGCTGACCCTCCCAGGGCAGGCTGGTGCCGCGAAGGGTGGAGAGGCAACCCCTGTTACGCCCAAGAGCCTTCGTGCAGTCCAGGACGAGACAGCCACTGTCAGCTGGGAGGGCGTTCCCAAGCCGCTCCTGCCTCGGGATGCGAGCAAGAGGCTACTCGCTCGCGCAGCTCCGCGGCGGGCGCGGCGATCCGCCCCCCCCAACTGCCGCGCGGAGGTCATCAAAACAGTGGTTGCGCAGCTCCAGAAGTGGACTGGCCGAATACCGTCAGCACCGCAGGGGGCTGCTGCGACGGCCGCTCCAGAGTCGCGGCGGCATAGCTGGTGTGCTGTGTGCTGCGGGCTGGCTCTACACAGTGGCATTATCATTGGCTTCCAAGTGGACGCGGGGGCTGCCCAACCAGTTTGGCTACCATCGCCGCGATGGCGTGGCCTCCAGCACGGTCGCGGCCTGAAGGTGCTGCCGAAGGACGAGCGCCACGCTTCCGTGATGATCGAGGGCGCCACTGGGATACCACTCCTCTCAACGACGTCAAGTATGGTGGTTCTGGCGTGCTGTTACTTCCGGGATGCGATTTTCGTGGCGTCGTGCACTGTTCACTTGTCGTTGTAAGTCCCCCCTCCAGGTCACGTCTCGATTCGCGCCAGCGCCGTTTGGGAATGAGTCATTCCATTCCCTGACGGCGCCTGCGCAAATCGTGACGTGGCCTGCCCAATCCCCCCCTTCCTCCCCCTCCCATGTCACGCCCGTTATCGCCTGGGGATAAAACAACTGTTTCCAGATGTCCGACGACGTGAGTTCTGCAACCATCGGCAGGGTTCGGAAGCTCTCACTGGTTCCTAAAAAGTTTTCTCGACTCGGGGTGCTTTCCCGAAGCTGCGCCTCGCCGGGGGCGTTCCATGGGGGCCAGGATCGTCCCCAAGGCCGCCAGAGGCCCGAGCTATAGCCTGAAAAAATAAGTCTCCTACGCTCTGCAACAAAAACACAGAAGTTGCTCTTGCTTCTCAACCTTCGGGGGCCCTCGCTGGGCCCCAGGACCGTCAAGAAACGACTCAGGACGGAAAGCGGGCACAGGGGAGAGGGTCAGGACTTGTGGAGACCTCGCATTTGAGAAGCCAAGGCATCGGATGCCTCGGTACTCCGACGGCGTGGTTATTTCAACTGGCGCTTTTGTTCCTTCGATTTGGGCCTCTAGGGCCCGTCAGCGGGCCCAAGGACCATCCAAAATGGACCCAGGACGAAAAAATACCCCTGGGGAAGCGGTCAGGACCTCTGGGGCCGCGGATGGGAAAAAACGCATCGGCGGATGTCAGGAAAAGGCACCTCGGGACCCTGTTGGGCCCTCCTCGGGCCCTCTTGGCCGTCTTTGGGGCATCTATAGGGCCGTCTTAGTTAGAGGCCACCCTGGCCAGGTTGGCGGGGTGCATCTTGGAGACCCTGGCCGCCACGAGCGAGGCCGCGCGAGCGCGAGGTCTCACTGCGCCAGAGGCCCCTGTCAGGCCCCCCGGCAGGCCCCTGGGGGGGGGCCTCCCCCGAGATCTGGCATCACGGCAGCGCCTGCAGCGTCGTGAGCAGCCACAGCCGGAGCCCTCGACCCCGTGTCTCGGCAGCATCTTTTCCCGTGCCGGCTCGCTCCGCGGAGGCTCCTCCTCCTCCTCCTCCTC